CTATGGATTTTTAAAATCAGCTTTAGCACAATTCCTGGGTGAACTGCCCTTAATCTATTTTTCTATATGCTCGACTGTTAATTCCCTAGCTGTACTCTCCACTTGCTGTCTGAGTCTTACCCAGGGTTATTTCTGTCCATCAGTGCTTTCTCCGGGAGCATTCACTCAGCCACGTGGTCCTGGCACATCACATCTAAGGGAGACCTCCGGTTCTTTCTCCTTCTTCCTTCTTCCTCTTTCTCCTCTCTCCTTCTTCTTCCTCCTGTTTTTGCTGTGGTCCATACCAGTAGCCACTTTATTTAATCAATAGCTTTAAATTAAGGAGCAAGGTTTATACAACAAAGGCCAGTGTATATGAGAATTTACTGGTCTGGGGGCAACCAGATGTTGGGGTTCAGAATCTGGCATTTGTATACTCTGCACCTGACCCATCTCTAATAAATAGGTTCCACACCAGGTGACAGGCTTGACAATACAGAGTCACCAGCATAAGGTCAGCAGTGTAGAGGCTGAGAATCATCACACAGCAGGAGAGTTCTCAACTCAGCCAACAGGAAAAGGGGGAGAAGGACAAAAGGCAACCAGAGAGAAGGAGAAATAAGTGCACAGAACAAGCTATCCCAGAGAATAGCGTTTTACAAAGGAGCTTAGAAGAGTCTAGGAGAACAGATAGGATAGCTGGGGAGACTGTTCGGTTGGTAAAGTGCTTCCCATATAATCAAAGAGGACATGAGTTTGAGCCCCAGAACTAACATTTTATTTTGTTTTGTTTAAAAAGGAATGCCTGTGGTGACTCATGCTTACACTCACAGATCTGGGAAGATGGAGACAGGTAGATCCCTGGGCTTGCTGGCCAGCTGAGACAGCCTATTTGTTGAGTCCCAGGCCAGTAAGATACACTGTCTTAAAAAGTGAACTGTGTCATAGGGATGGCACCTAAGACTGAGTGCTGACTTCTGCATGTGCATTTGTATGTATGTGATCAAACACTCACACTCACATTCATCTACATAGCACCAATACCACCACCACCACCAAAAATCAGAGCAGACAGCTAAGAGTTGGAGGACGAATGCTTGTAGAACTCTGGAAGTCATAAAAGTCTGTGCTAATGGGAACATAACATGCAATTAGTAACCTTCCTTCAATTACAGAGGGAGCTGATGTGGGGAGAAGTTGCTACTTGCCAAAAATTATGGAACTAGTTCAAGGTGAAGCCTGCTAAGAATGGAGTTTTGAGAGGCATCCCTAAAGGTGTATGTTCATGAGGACCAGAATGGTTTCAGTCCTTTCCCATAGCAATTGGCCTAGAGTTAGGGGATCAGAAATCTGCTGTACATCTGGCTGTTAGTCAGGAAGGCAATAACAGGAATTGGAGACATACCTGTGACATTCAGGGAGCAGCCTGTGTCTTCAAGTGTCCTGTTTCTTTGACTCAAGGAGGGGATAGAGCAGAGTTTGCTTGGTATTATATATTTAACAATCCTTAGTTCATTTACTATCCCTAGCTACTATTTTACAGCTAATAGTCATAATATATCTTACATAGTACAATCTCTTTACCTTGAAATTTTAATTAGTATATATTAAGAAAAACTACAGGCAGGGAAGATGGCTCAGTGAATAATAAAGTACTCTCTGTGCAAGCAATGGGGACCTAAATTCAGACCCCCAGCTCCCAGGTGACAGCTGAATTTAGCAGTGCTTGTCTCTAAGTCCAGTACTGGGAGTGGAGGGGTGGCAGAGACAGGAACTCAGGGGCTATACTCAGCCAATGTATTGGAAAGTGCCTCGAGGTTCATTGAGAAACCTTGTCTCAAAAGACATGGTGGAGAAGCAATTGAGTAAGATACTCTGAGGTCAATCTCTCCCCAGCATGAACCAGTATACCTTCACACACACACACACACACACACTAAACATACACATACACACATACACACATTGACAAAAGAAAAACTGTAAAACTGAAATGACAGATCCTCTGGCATTATGCTATAAAAATTATATCTTAACAGGGCTTTGCTTTCCAAAGAGACCGCCAACTCCCCCTGAAGCATATTTCGTTTAACTGGTGCTGTGTACCTGGATGTGTGGCAATGTGGCACGACAAATTAGCTTGTGGTTTGGAGACGGAAATGGGGAAGATCTCATTAGACTGAGCTCTAGGAAAGTTGCTTTGTAGGAAGTGACGTTTTACACTAGTAACCCTACCCCGCCCGGCCCGCCCCCCCCCCCCCCCCACCCCCGTCAGATGCTTTCTGTTCACTGGCTCTTCATGGTGTGCGTTTCCTTCTGAGCTCTGGAGCTCTACATTAGATAGATGGGGCTACACTGTGCCCTTGAGTTTATGCTCTTGGAGGAGAGCTATCGAAATGACTCAGGGTTTATGTCATCTACCCTTTAATGCAAAGCAGAGATATAAAGCCAAGAATAACACTAAAAGCCAAACAGAAAACACTGCACTTCAGTGGCAGGGCTGCCTGAGCTGTTACTACAAGCAGCAATTAGCAGGGACTCTTAGAACTCCACAAGAGGTTTCAACTGTCTATGGCACTGAATATGATTCTTCTTCAGTCCCAAGAAATACTCATTGAACTTTACTAAGAAAACAAAAACAAAACAAAACCCAGGGGAAAGTGCACAAGAAGGAGCTTCTCATAAATAGATTTTTGAGTGAGACCACACTTGGTTTGGACATGATTTATGCACCTTTACAGTCAATTTTATTAGCCTCTGTGTGTGACTTTCTTTAACACAACCTTCCCCAACTCATTCCTGGAGAATTAAAACTTTTTTTTCTCTACTCAAAATCTCACAAATACTCACCTATATGTTTCTTCTAGCTTTGGAAAATATTTCAGTTTTTCTATGACTTAAGTCATTTTGATTTTGTAAAAAAAAAAAAAGTATAAAGTAAGAACATAATTCATTTCCTTAACAGACAAAATTTACACTCTTAATTGCTTGCCTAATCTCTGCCTTCTGTATTTTCAAAATTTTTCTCAAAGCAGAATGTGAAAGAAGCAATTGAAATTTTGTTCAATTGAAATTTTGTAGCACTGAGTGTATCGCGTTGGGGCCAAGGAAGAATGGAGGGCTGTGTGGGAGTCTGTGAAACACATGTGGATTGATGCAAACCATCCCTCAACTCCATCATTCCTCCTGTCTCCAATTTCTCCCCTCAGAGCCTCAACCTTTTGCCTTCTTTCACAATCCAGTACATAAATCCAGGGTATGTCACAGGTTGCACGGAAACAACTACATTACTTTGGTCTTCCAGACCTTCTCCCAACCTCCAGCCACTGGCCTTCTGACCCACTCTCATATACTCACCCAGTTGACAGACAAATGCAGTTAATAACGCTGTTGGGCTGGGAAACTAGAGCAAAGAAATAGGAATTCTTATGAATAGGTTATCTAAGAGAGGTATATGTTAAGATAGAAGTTGTTTCTAGTGTGTATAACTGGGTGAGTCATTTTCTTTCCTAAAAGGTATGATATTCTCTCTCTCTCTCTCTCTCTCTCTCTCTCTCTCTCACACACACACACACACACACACACACACACACACAGAAAGTGTCATACTTGAGTAGCTTCTGCAAAACACATAGAACTATAGAAGTAGACATTCCTCTACAGCTGAAATAAGACCCTTAAAAAAAAGAAAAAGGCGGTTCACTTAAAGAAGTGGTTCCCAGTCCTGCAGTCCAATCAGATACGGCATGATTTTCTCCTAGCGTCCTTTAGCCCATCCATCTAGGTTTAACAGCAAAATTTGAAATACACCATTCTTTCATTCCACCGCACAGGTGGGTCCTGGGGATTGAACTCAGACCTTCAGGCTTGGTGGTGAGTGCCTTTATTTGCTGAGCAATCTTGCTGCCCAGTCATGCCATATTTTATTATTTAAACGAATTATAACTATTTCATGATCTTCGAAGTGGAGAAAAACAAAAGCCAAAAGCAAACACTAAAAGACCAAACACTACTCTGAGCTGTTGGTACCAATGGCAGGGCTGTTAACAGTTTGAAAGACCACGTTTGACTGGTGCACTTCAAAAGCCAACTCAATGCTACTCTAAGTAAGTTCTAACTTAGAGATCAGCACTGGTAAACAGATGGATAATTTGTATAAGAACCCTAGCTTTCTAGGAGTCTCCAATGATTTTCAGGTACATCTATCCAATGAGAACAGGGACAGGCAATCTTGGCTAATGGATTTTCCCTTTTAAACTCCTAGCAGGCAAAGGTTGTTAGTACAACGTATGACATCTGCATGTGCTTTTATCTCTACGACTTTTCCCCCAAGACTTTTTAAGCCATATAGCTTAAAGGCTCTCCTCTGATTAGATCTAGAATTGCTCACTAGAAAAGATAACCTACTCCTCACAGCAATTTGTAATGTTCTAAACAGAGTGATAATGGGTGGTCCTTTCTTTCTAAACGTCCCATTTGTGCATATTTGGGACAGGGGAACTTGGGTGTCTTTGCAACTCCTTTTTGAGCACAGGATTGGAAAGCGAGGAATACTATTTTACCCACTCGGGTCAGTCTACGGGCGAGTGCTTGTCCAACACAGAGCCATTAGGAGCCGAGCAAAGTGCGGAGCGGGTCCACACCGCAAGCTGCGACGCAGCCCACCGGGCTTGGCCGGATCCTAACAATGCTACCCTCGTGTCTCGGTGCTCGCCTCCAGCGCGCCTGCACGTACGTAGCTTGCACGTGTGTGTTGATATGGATTTCGTGTGTGGACCCCTTAGAATATGCTGAAACTGATTTCTCAGAGAGGCGCGGAAGACAGGTCGAGGGAAGGTAGGAGCGGGTGCGGCGGACTCCCCCGGCCTCGGGGCGGGGAGGCAGCGCGGGCCGCGCAAGTCCCGCGCTGGCCGCTAGAGCCCCCCGTGCGCGGCTCGGCCCAGGCCCCGCGCTCGCCCGGCCCGGCCCCGCGCGGGGAAACACTCAAGCGCACACAATGAACTCGGAGGAGGCCGCGAGCTTGGCCGGCCGCCGCGCCCGCACCGTGTGAACCGCCTCTTGGTGGGGATGCCAACTTTGCCCCCAGGCGTCCTCTGCAGCCCCGCAGGCCCAGCGCCGCCGTCGGGCTGAGGAGACGCGGTGAGTGAGCGAGCGAGCGAACGAGCGAGCGAGAGCGCGCGACGGGCCAGGCCTCCAGCCGGCGCGCGACGCCCCGGCCGCCTCGCCCGGCTTCGCCCCGGCGCGCGCCGAGGCATTTTCTGTGGTGGAAGCCGCCGCCAACATGGCGCCCCTCGAGCCCCGAGCCCTCCGCGCTGAGCCAGCGGGGGGAGCCGGGGAGGAGGGAGGAGATGGCGGGGAGGAGGAGGCGGCGGCCTGCGTCCCCCCCGCCCCCCGCGCCCGTCGCCGGCTGAGGCCCGAGAGGCGCCGGGCGGCGGGAACGAGGCGGCTCCGGAGGGAGGGCCGGGCGCGGCGGCAGCGGCAGCGGCGGCGGAGCGGAGCATAATGGTGGGGAAAGCTCGGCGGCGGCGGGGTGGCTGGGCGGCGGGGAGGGCGGAGGCATCCGCGGCGGTGGCGCGGCCTGTGCTGTGGCGGCTGCCCCGGCCGCGGGCTCCCGGGCTGGCGGGCGGGCGGCGACTGACGGCGGCCTCAGGGATTGCCCGTGGCCGGTGAGGCCTGAGGGGTGGGCGCGTTTCCTCTGTCCAGCACCTTTTACCTCAGGCTGCCGTGAGGAGCAGGCCCGCGTGAAGGCCGCGGAGAACCGCGCGCGGCCTGCTGGCGCCGGGAAGCCGCGGAGTCTTGTGAGCTCCTCCCGCCGGGTCCCCGCGCCTCCCGCTTGGCCAGGCCCTGGGGCCTTTGCGCGGAACGTGGAGCGGGCGGAGGAGAGCAATGAAAGCGAACGTTCCTGAGACCCGAGACCGGTGTTCGTCGCTCTCCCGGGGGCTGCAGGCGAGCGGGTAGCGAGGCCTCAGCTGCCTCAACAGGTCCTCTTGGCCGTCCTGGGGGATCAGCTGCCTTGTGCCCACGCAGCGCCGGGGAGAGAAGCTGATGGGGACGCTGCCTGTGGGGCTGTGGCCCGAACTTTGCTTGCACTGTCTCCCCTCGTGCCTTTTTCCTGGGCCGAGCCAAGGGGGCTTTTGCTGTGTGTCCGTGGGACTTAGTCGTTGGTGATGTGTTTGTGGTGTTCAGTGTTTGCAGTGTGTCTGTGGTACTGACTGTCTTATGTGATTAGCGTGTAGCACTCTGTCACGGGCAGTATGCATGCACACCCTGTGTCCTCTAATCTGTATAAACGCCGGCCTCTGCCACGGTGCAGCTGAACTGTGCACTGAATCGCTGGAGTGATAAGATGTGTACATAGTATCTATCTAGCATTGTGTGCAGTTGAGTATGCAGAATCTTTGTATAGAGTATCTAGTGTCAAAAAGTGTTACAGAGTATCTGGTGTTAAGATTCCTTGCACGACCAGTGTGACTGGTGTCTTATACTGAGTACACACACAGTACCTGGTTTCCTGTAGAGTTGTATAGTTACTAGTGTCATACAGTGTTTACACAGAACCCATGTTAGTAGGAGGCTTATACTGCACCCAGTGTCTTATGTGGTATGTATCCAATTGCTGGTTTCACTTGCTGTATACATAATGACTGGTGTCATGTGTGTTTTTGAGCTTAGAGGAAGTGGCCAGGTGGCCCAATGAGGGAGAGGTCACCCTAAAGGCAGTGAGCAGTTTAAGGGTTTTTGTGAGACTATCTCACTCAGGCCCTCTCTCTGCTTCACCTGGGAGTTAGGTTTCCTACAGTCAATTGTGTTGTATGCCGGCCAAAACATTAAAAAAAATAATCACTAGGAGACATAGAAAGTAAATGCTTTTTAAAAAGAAAACAAGATATGTAACAAGACACGTAGCTTAATTATTATGGGATACATAATCTCAAATGATTGGGGGATGCCATTGATCTCCAATTAGTGTCTAGAAGTTATTAGAGAGTATCTGGTCGTACTCTAAAAGTTTGAGTGTTTTGTGGTAGGCAAGATGATGTTTGTACTTTTTAAAATCTCTAATGTATTCTACTAGAAGAAGAAATGTGAGTTTATGTACAGGCATATTATTTTCCTGGTCTTTGTTTACATTGTAGTTAGTTCTTTGGTTACATTGTAGTCAGTAGTTTGGCTGACTCAATAAGATGAAGAGGCCAGAGAATCAAAGATCAGAAGACATGAGATGCGACTATGATCACGTCAAAATAAGTTTCTTGTTGAACTCTGATTAAGGGAATTGCTGTACTTCATGCACTATCTTTTTCTGTATAGACTGTTCATGTGAAAACTGTATCTCACCTCTTGTGTTCTCCAAGGTGGACAGTTTGGTTTTTCTTGCAGTTACCATTTACAATAAATGCACACATGAATGCTTTATTTATTTATTTAAAAAATGGATTAAAATGTTAGAACTGCACTCTAATTCTATTTAAATATTCTTCAGATATTGTAAAGTTGGTGGTCTGGGTGGATGTCAATTTGCATGTTTCTGTAAAAGACATAGGTTTATTTCACCCCTTTGTAACCCTGACTCTATTACCCTTTAGGATGGTTCTGATAGCATATAATAGAGACATATCCCGGCATAACTTAATTGCGATGCTAATTGGAGCAAAGATTTTTGATATTTGTAACAGAACTATCACACGCTGTTAGGACAGTGGTTGCTTAAAACCCTAACCAGCTGCTGGAAGATTTTTTATTACCCTCTTTAGCTTTTAGTTGATTGATTTTTTTTAAATAAAAAACCCATCATTAAATCTAAGCAAAGAGAATGTGTCATGAGAAGAAAAGAAAACCAGCAAATGAGCAGCAAACCTTAGCCATTCTTTGCTTGCAAACCTTCAGTTGAACTTAGCATTAATTTTTTCAGGGTGTTTAATTTGGTTATTTTATTTGAGTCATAGCATAATGATTAAGACCACAGACCTAAAGGCTCAGTGACTTGGGTTTGTATCTCCCTTTGGTCATTTAGTAGGTTCTTGGCAAATGACTTAACTTTTGGTGGGTTAGGCAATGAAGAACAAGGAGTTACTGAACCAACCTCACAGTTCTTGTGAGGATTAGGCTGCTCTTGAAGCAGTGCCAAGCTCCCCAGAACTGTGAGGACAGGTTGCACAGCTGAGGTCCTCATTACAGCTCAGTTTCCTCCTTGATTTGGGACTTACAGAGCTGCAACCAAAGCTGAGCTCCCAGGGAGGCTCTCTTGTGTTGTCTGTTACCTCTAGTTATCTAGCATGAAAGAAAGTTGTTATTTTCTGTTCCTGTAGTTAATCAGTTTGTTGATTTTGATACAAGAAAGACTGAGGACTGTCTATAGTTTGTAAAGTTGCCTGCCTTTCCTAGAAGTGGTCATTTTGGTCCAAGTTAAGTACAGAGCCCTGGCTTAAAAAGCCATTAGCCCAGAACATGGCTCAAATGAAATCTGACACCTTAAGTCTTCTTCACTTTGAACTTTTATTTTCTGTGGTGGAGAGTATGTGTGAAACCTTTCTAGATTTATTGCTATTGTGTATTGTTATGCATAATGTGTACCAGTGTGCATACTGTGACATGAGTGTGGAGGTCAGAAGACAGCTTGAAGGATTGAGTTCTCTCTGTCCTGGGGATTGAATTCAGAATCAACAGGCAGGTAGCTTTACAGACTGAGCCATCTTGCTGGCTCAAAACTTTGTAGTGTTAGTTTTTATTTTGCTATATTGTTACTTTGCTTCTCTAAGCTTGCACTTGCTATTGCTGTTTTTTGTTTTTCTCCCTCCTTTTTTGGGTTTTATTTACAATTCATATAAAGACCAGAAGGGACAGAAACATACAGACACACACACACATACACACACCTCCCCGAACCAATTTTAACAATGGTGATTTTTGGGTTTTAATTCATTACTTCCAAACCCCTGGTATTTATTATTCCTGACATATATACATAGCTGAAGCAAAGCATCTGAGAGTTATTTTAACACTTGGCTCTAATTTGGTACTTATGCTCACCTACAATACCTTATCTGTACTTCAAGTTATATGTTTTATATTGCTCAAGTAGATAATCTACAGAGAATAACTATGGCCATCTTTCACCAGCTCATTCTGGAAATGAATTCCATTTCTCACTCATGGTTTTTCTAAGAATTGATAAGAGGTGAAAGGCTGCTAGTTTACATCTGTACATGAGTCTCCTACAGTGACCGGGGGAGCTGCTTGCAGTGCCTGTTTTCTTATTGTCCCAAGAAGTGCAGCTAGGTTGTGCTGTGGTGACTTGGGGTGTTAGGGACCTGTGGATTCCTATGGTTCTCTGTTGAAATGTAACCACAGAAGTTGAGTACCATGACAGTAAAACATTACTGTATCTCTACCACTGTGCGGTGTTCACCTACACTGACTCGCTTAAAATTTGCATACGGTCATCTTAAAAGTATAGAAGTCTTTTAATATGGGAAGTTGAGTGCCTTGTAGCAGGTTCCCCGTCCTACTGTTCATGTGCATGCCTGTGCACTGGAGTACATGTAGGGATCTATGTAACACTGACGGTCAGAGATCCCTGGGATACTGTGTGAGTGACAGGAGTGGAATCTGCAGAAGAGAGAGAATTTAAATATAAATTCCCTGAGAGCAGTCCTTTTGAATAATTGCTAAACATGTTCATGAAATGGGTGACCATTTGAAGTTTTTTTTTCTGCCATTAAAGAATCAGCTTTAATATAATTGTAATATAAATTTAATATAAATATAATATAAATGTGAATTAATCTGACTGCCATTAAAGAATTAGCTTTAATATAAATGTAATATAAATTTAATATAAATATAATATAAATGTGAATTAATCTGACAGCTGTATTTCTTTACCTTATGCTAGTCCCCAACAACCATACAGAGAAACAAAGACTTATTTCAAGCTACACCTCAATAGCTGAGCAGTTAAATGATCTACTTAGCCTCCTATGCTAATCCAGCTCCCTCCCAGCCCCTTCCCATGATACTTGAATATTATTGTTGATCTGGCTCTTCAGGCTGCAGGTGTGTTTTCAGAGTCTCTCGGGATCCCTTCCTTATGGCTCTAAATCCTCCATTTTCCTAGATGATCTGAAACTCTCTCAATT